TTTTGCAGGACAAAATGCTGGGACTAGGTGTATATGAGTGGGGCTACATAAGTTACTTTTGCCATTACTAATAAATAAACCCATAAAACCATTGTTGCACAGTTCCTTGTCAGTTTCATGCATGTCCCTTGGAGTATCACATCCAAGTTAGGGAACGACTGCTACTGACGTAGATCGCACGATGGTCATACTATTGGTATAATTTCACCATAGTAGTCCTCCTATTCTGCATATGGTCTCACAAAAGTATCAGCTTAATCCACTTATTTAACGCCGATCGATATGGCTTTCTTCCTTCATTCAATTGATAAACTTGGTTTTGTAATGCTGCATCATTTTCCTAATCTAATGGCACATCTGTCAGACACCAGATTTTCCAGGCATTTTCGAAAAGTCTTCTTAAAAATTCATTTTAGCCGGAAACTTATTCCCAGTTATCCCCACGTTCGCTATCGGATACTGTCGGAAGTAACTTTTCCCAAAGCACGGAGTAGAAATCATTCTCATTGCCTGTATCATACTATATATAGATTCCACTATCCAAATTCTTACTGATCTCTTGTTGTGAGACAAACTGGAGGAAGTCAATCCAATTCAGCTGGAGCACTTTACTTCGGCCAGCATTTGTTTCCTGTTTTTACGCTGCGACTTCGATGTTATCTTTTCAAAGGACGTTAAAGTTTTAGGCAAAACTAACTGTAACTTATTACTCCTTTACTTTTAAACGACACCTGATTAAGTTTGCTAGACAGTTTATGTCGTTGTTAATTGCAGATCTTCCAGATATCTTTTCCTCTTTGTCCCCTAGGAAAAAGCGAGCTGGAGTAGGCAAATTAATATAAATAGCTGGTTTTCTCTCTCAGCCTGAAACGTCCCAACTCTAGGCATTTCAACTCCCATTATTGGACATAAATCCTTCGTTTACAGTATAGGCAAGCCTTCAAAGAAGCAAAATCGAAAAGTAGAAACGAAAGAGGAAAAAGGGAACGGAGGAGAGGATGACGACTAAGATTAGAAAATTAGAGTAGGAAGAAAAAGAATAAAATGAAGAAGGCAATGATAGTAGTGGTAGTAGTAGTAACAATTATAACTATATTGAGGGGCGTTCATGAGATGGAAATAAAAGGAAGCCTATACTTAAAATAGGAAAAATTAACTAATATCACTTCAAACTCTGTACCCATTCCGGTACATCAAAGTAAATAATCAAAAAAATAAAACGCTAACCAAGGCTTTGAAGGAAAGAACGCTCACCCTCACATCATGCCATTCTGTCTTCCAACTCACAAGACTCCTGGGAATGTTATCAAGACTGTGACGAGTTAGGTTGGCAGCGATGGTAACCCAGTCAGAATTCGGTCCCGGTCGCACCAAAGAGGCAAGAGTAATATGGGCCAGAAGGCGGTCCGTCAAGTTTTCTCGCGGATTGAGGCATCCCACGCCTCTAAGTTTGCCACCCCGAGTGCCACCAGTAAATTGAATGCGGAGGCAAAGATTCAGACCAAAATTTAATCGATCCTGCGTTTCATTCTTGATCAGTTGCATCAGTACCTCCAAGATGGAGCGCATAGACTAACAGAAATAAAATCAAAGCAGACCAGCGTAGTGATAATTTAAGAAAAATGCATGTGGGTTTTCATTTTTTAAAGTTTACTGCAACTGCATGAGAGAGGGCATTAGGTTGAGCCCCAAATCACAGTGAAACACGCAGATTCAGTAGCTCAATTGGCGAGTTTTCGAAATTCCGATACAGCTTACTTCCACAGAACTCTACCACGCCTCATGTACTTGACCTGGAGAGCAAAACATTGTCAGAAGACATAAGCTGGACTGGGGCACGGCGCGATAAAAGCATAATGGCCCTCTACCACACACGATTTGGTTCACATAAACTTTAGTGGACTTTCACAGAAAAGAGGTTTGGGTTGGCTGTTGGCGAGAAAGCCAAAGAGGCCACACAAGTAAGGAGTTATTGGGTGTTACTCCCCGTCCTCTTTCCGAAGAGCCAACATATGTACACACTACTGACTAGGATTAGCGAATTATCCAGCCAGCTTGCAGATTTTCAAGTCATTTTACCACGCCATGATGCAAGTGCATCAAGTTGAGTTCACCTATAATTTCTCCAACAACCGCCGTACTCTCTTTCCTTTTTCACCAAGTGACTTTCAGAGCCTGTTCGCCATCCAGTGTCAGGTTACTTCTACAATTGCACGCGTTTGGGCGGTTAAAAAGTTCTGCTCGACGGCAAATTGCAAGCCGAATTATGTTAATGTCTAGTGGTGTTGGATCTGACATCGATACAAGGCTGTGGGGCACATGCGTCCAGTTCTCAGCGACTTCGTATACTGAAGGGTTGTAGTATTATTGACAGATAATTCAGCTTTGATGGAAGAAAGCTTTTAAAAATATAAATTAATTCAAAACAGCTTGGTCGTATAGGACCAATTCCTATAGTAGTTCGCTCAATAACTGCACCTTGGCATAGATGTCCAGAAGCATAAAAGAATGCGCTCACTTTTATGATTAAATAGGTATAAATAAAATAAAATAAAAAATCCAATAATGTTTAGTAGCTCCAAGGTCTGCAATTTAAACTATATTCACCCGTTGTCTTGTTAGTTGAAATGCTCAGGTCCAGTGTGGGCTTAATAACAAGGAATGAGAGAAACGATATACTGCACGTATGTAGAGAAATAATGAAAATTACTTGAGATGT